GAAATATGTTGACGTGTTCAATACTTATTTTACCTGCTGTATCTAAAAAGTACAAATTGCTAAAATACTAGTCATAGCCCAAATGTCCAGAAGGAGCTTGATATAGCATTGATATAGGTTTGACATAGCAATTGTTGAAATAGCACAAAAATTGTGTAATGAGAAAAGTGCCGAAAAACATAGGAAAGAATAAAATGATCTCAATACTGTGAATGCTTTATAACATTCGCAGTATTGAGACACCAACTGAAAGATTTAAATGTGAAAAAGGATTTAAAAGCATGATATGTCTCCTTTAAGACAAGAACAAAACACTTTGGTCTCATCTGCATTCAGATTAGCCATTAGTTTGTCAACCGTTAAACTTTATTTCTCCAAATCGTGTCCTATTCCTTCAAACATCATCCCCTGCCAGTTGCAATGCAATATCCCAAACTAAAAGTTTGACACACWCAGGCACACATGAACAGCTGTATAAAGTTTAGCTCATGAATATTTGATTTAATTTCCAGGTTCTGAAAGATACTGTGCAACCTTCTCTCGCAGATCAGAAGGCCCGAGAATGACTGAAAGGAAATAAATAATACAGGGAGATTTGCCCACCTCATCATAAGTGTAGCGGTAGTCTGCCTTCTTTGATTTCAGATCCCACAGGACCACAATCCCCGACTCAAATCCAATTATAAGCTGCAGAGGAAGAGCAACAGGCATTCTGTGAGACACACGGGGAAGATGAGAGACAGGAGACAGAACAAATCCTATGATGGGCAGAAACTGAAGTAATACACTTAATATCCCACACAGCATGAGAGGAAGACAGAGTAAAAGGTTTACAGTGGCTCAGGAGGAAAATGCTAGTCAGAGCTGATGACAGGAAATGGAAGAAAAGATGTAGAAAATACAACATGAGGCTTTTTTTTTGTTATCCTGACAACATATTTATAGAACCACCTATCTTATTCAGTCTCAGTTCTTTGAAATTGAAATGTGTGTCACATTTACGTAGATGAAAACTTAAATCGTTGTGTGTTGAACGTGTGCAAAGTTGTCTTTTAGCCACAACTATATTTATGCAATGAATGTGTTTGAAATAGTGTAAAGAGCAAACTGGCAATAGGACCTAGAGCTGCACGATATATCATTTCAGCTAATGTATGTGTGCRTAGTATTCACTGCAGGTCCTATAGGAGGCAAACCATAACCGCACTAAACCATAAGTCATTGTGCTAAACTACGACGGAGTATTAGGACCACACAACAAGATTTCTTAAATTATTATTACGAGATTAAAGTCGTAATTTTATGAGAATAAAGTCATAATTTTACAAGATTAAAGTTGTAATATTACGTAAAAAAAAGTCATAATCATGACGTGTCTATTTCCCGTTCTTCATTTCCTCCTTATTTTCCTCTCACCTGCTGTACAGCCATGTGTTTGTGTTTATAAAGTAGTCCATGATGACTCATAACTGTTAGATTAATATGCTTTCATCCAAATTAGGTACGTGACGACTAAATCTGTCAATGCATCCATTAATTACAATACAGCTTCAGTTTATAGTCGTTTGCACAATTTCCAAGTCCTGCTACAGATAATTTGATGCTAATGTGCTAAAAGATTAACTATTTATTTATAGCAATGCTGAAGAACAACTTGACAACACTCCTCATTTTAATGCAGTGATAAACTGCAGGCTTTTTCGTGTAAAGGCTACAATATTATGACTTTAATCTTGTAATATCATGACTTTAATCTCGTAATATCATGACTTTAAACTCGTAATATTTTGACTTTAATCTWGTAATATTCTGACTTAATCTCGTAATATTATGACTTTAAACTTTTAATATTATGACTTTAATCTCGTAATATTACGACTTTAATCTCGTAATATTATGACTTTAAACTCATAATATTACGACTTTTTTCTTGTAATATTATGACTTTAATCTCGTAATATCATGACTTTAAACTTGTAATATCATGACTTTAAACTCTTGGTATTACGACTTTAATCTCGTAATATTGACTTTAAACTCGTAATATCATGACTTTAAACTTGTAATATCATGACTTTAAACTCTTGGTATTACGACTTTAATCTCGTAATATTGACTTTAAACTCGTAATATCATGACTTTAAACTCGTAATATCATGACTTTAATCTAGTAATATTCCGACTTTAATCTCATAATATTTCGATTTTAATCTCGTAATACTATGACTTTAAACTCTTAATATTACGACTTTAATCTCGTAATATTACTACTTTAATCTCGTAATATTACGACTTTAAACTCGTAAAATTACGACTTTAAACTCATAATATTATGACTTTAAACTTGTAATATTATGACTTTAAACCCTTAATATTACGACTTTATTCTCATTATATTACGACTTTATTCTCATAATATTACGACTTTATTCTCATAATATTACGACTTTATTCTCATAATATTATGACTTTATTCTCGTAATGTAAAAAAATAAAAAAAAAATCTCGTTGTGTGGCCCTAATACTCCGTCATTCTAAACGTTTATATGTTAAGATTTTTGTTTTGATGGGGTGCTTCCACCAGCAGAAAGAGGGCGGCTTTGTGTCGAAAAAACTACAACTTTCATTTTGTTGCGAAACTTCAGGGACAATAACGGCAACGTTTTTCAGAGGAGTTGTCGGTGAATTCTCAAGTCGTGGAGGAAGAGGATGAGGATCTTGACGAAAACGAGAAAGATGTGCAAATGTGTAGAGGACTGGAGGAAAAGAGGTAAGGCACGGTTAGCATGAATGCTAACATTAAAGCGTGACGGAAGCAGAAATGAAGGCAGTGGTGAAACACAATTCATGTTTAAACATAGTGTACTCAGGTTCCAGCATAATAAAACACAACAGAAATAACTCTCAAATACAGACAAAAAAYAAATACTTGTAATGCACTAAAAAAAGGGTAAGATTAGTGCAGGTTCATCGCCAACAAGATGTTAGCAAAACTTAAAGTGTTATTCAGGTCATCTGTTGAAAATTATTGCAAATTGAAAGATTAGAAAACACTGCAATGTCAGTTTTTTCCAATATCGTGCAGCCCTAAATAGGACTAAGGATTTATTTATTACACATTAGCACAAATGCAATGCTGTTAGGACAAAGTTTGCTCAGTCCTATTTCCAAACCTTTATTACTTTGTTTGTGTCTGTATGTTGAGTTCGTTCCATCCCAGAAGGTTAGGATTTGTAAAAACAAACAAACAAAAAATAAATAAATAAAAAAACAACTACCAAGTGTTTTTAAAAAAAAGGAAACATTTTTTTTTGCATTACTTCCTACCTTTCCTTCATCCATAGGGTTATCACTTATGTGTACAACTGGTCCAGGGTGAGCCTTGGAGGACCTTATGAGACAAAAAAAGAAAAAAAAGATTCAGACCAATGTACAAACAAAACAAAAACCACAAAAGGAGTATTTTTTTTTTTTGGAAGGAGACAAAATCCAGCTGAGTTTAAGTTTTAATTTCAGCCCAAAAAGTACAGAAAAGTAGTTTTAGGTTTTCTGTACAGAAACGATCAGATAAGCATTAAAACAGATTCATAGCAGGATTACATCAGGATTATTGTATGTGCCAGAAAAAACATGAACGATCCCTTTAATGCCAGCCCGCTAAGCATGATGAAAGACATTTAATAAGGTAATTTGGATGAAAATAATCTGAAATATAACTGAAGAATACTATTGATGAACATAGATTTGTAGGGAAAATATAAACTTGACAATCAGTTCAAAGTATTAAAATACAGCTGAAAGAAATAGGTTCAGCAAAGGTTGTGATGAACGGCTGTGTCAGCCCCCAGCTGCTGTGTGGATGTGAGTACATGTCTGTTTGTGTTTCATGAGAAAAAAAAGGCACAAAATGCTTGTCTCCTCCCTCCTTTCCCCTTCATGTCTGTGTCTTACCCTCCAGACAGCTTTGTGTCAAATCCCCTTTTTGTGTGTGCCACGTGGTAGCAGAATTTTCCTAACCTGCCCTTTAAGAGCCGAGCGGGGAAGGTCACCGCTGAAAAACGCCAATTGTTGCTGCCGCTAAAATACAAGCCACGAAGCCACGACAAGAGAGGTCGGACGAGGACAACGAAGAATGCAAAATTAGCTCTAACTCGTGTTTTATCAGTGCCTTGCTCAAGTGAAGGTCAGGTCATGCTGATGTGGACACAAAACAACAGAAAGGTGTGCAGATTTGACTGAGATCACTTTTAAAGGGATCCATGATTAGTTGTAACATTAGACTTTATTTAATAAACATATATTTTAACTGTAAAATAAAGACGGTAAAAATACTGTAGGATGTTCAGTTTTTATCGTTTTTAAACTAAAAGTTTAAAAATATAATACACGGACGGAGCCATTTTATTTACACGCAAAGCATTCTGGGTAAATGGTGGCGTGGATAGGTCCTCGG